TCTCGGTGGGCTTGGCTGGTGGCGTGCCTCTGGTGGCGTGGGCTCCTGCGGCTCGCCCCTCGACCGCGGGTGCGCGACCCCGCGCTGGGCTTCCCGGGCGAGGGCCCGTGCGGCGGAGGCGGCTTGCCGAGGAGGCCCCCCCATGGAGGTGAGCAGGGTTTCATCCCCTGGTCAGGTGACGGCCCGGCTCCCCCCGGGCGCGGCCAGCCTTCGTCGGGGCCGGGCTCGTGGAGCCCCGGCGCTGGCCTCCCGCGCCGCTGCAGCCGGGCCGGCGCAGCCGCGGGCCCGCCTGGTCGGGCTCTTGGTGCTGCTGCTGCTGCGGGGCCCTGCGGCCGCGCCGCGCCCGCCGACCTCCCGCCCCGCGGGGGCGGACTTGGCGGCCGCGCGCGGCCTGGCGCCAGTGGTCCAGACGCGCCGTGCTGCCCTCGTCTCGCAGCTCCAGCACTGGATGGCGGACGCAAGTCGTGCCCTCCGACACCGACTCGACGCGTCGTGGGACTTCTCCTTCACGCGGGAGCACCTGACGCCTGGCTCGAACCACCAGGCGATGCCGGAGGCGCTGCTGCTCGCTTCGGCGAGCCTTGCACTGGCGTGGGGCTGGTGCGACGTCTCCGGCGGCCCGATCTTCGGCTTCCTCGGGATGATGAGGCCCTTCGAGTTCCTGAGGCTGAAGTTCGGGGACCTGGCGCTCCCCTTGCGGACGTTGGATCGTCTGCATTCAAGGTGTGTGCACGTGGGCGCGCCCAAAATGTGACGCCTATGAGCGCGCTGCGTGCACGTCAGGATTGATGTCCCACAGTTGTGCATTTCCTCGTGGCCCTCTCACTTCTGTCCTCCCCATCGCTCCCCTCTCTTGCACGATGATGCCCGTGTTCTCAGATGTTGTCTGGATTCCCTCAAGGTTCTCTTCGGAATTCAACGTTCAGACAAAGGCGGCATCACCCCAGCGCCCCTCCGCTCGGGAGGGCCACGTGTTGGTATAGGCTCACAGGTTCGCCAGACTGGGTTCGCTACAGGGGCCGATGGCTCTCCAGTAGGTTGCTGGAGATTTTTATCCAGGAGATCGGGGCTAGTACGCTCCTCGCGGACCTCCCGAGTCCCCTCCGTAGTAAAGTCCGGCTTTTCGCCGAGGCTGCCGGCGCCCCCCCCTTGGCGAGGCCACCTGGCAGCTTCTGTCTTCGAGTCGTTTGCCGAGGCCGAGCGACGTCGACCCCTGCCCTTCCGGTCACCGTCCTCGTGTGCCGCCGCCGCTGCCAACAGAGCTCTTCCGTGCCCGCTTTGCTCCTCCCTCCCCCGCCCCTTCTACCACCAAGAGCGGTTGTGGATAGTCGAGGCCGGCCCCAACAGTGGCCGTCTTCGTGCTTTCAGAATGTTTGCACAGGCAGCGGTGAGCCCGGAAAAGTGCATCGGCCTTGGGTTTTAAGAGGAGCTTTTTCAGCAGAGGAAGGGCATCGCTGATTGCAGCGATTCCTCGACGCGCGGGGGCTCTGGCTTCAAGCTCTCCCGTGCCCACCCACCCTTGGCTAGTCGAGGCCGGCCCCAACAGTGGCCGTCCTCGTGCTTTCAGAATGTTTGGAGAGGCAGTGGTGAACCCGGAAAAGTGCATCGGCCTTGGGTTTTAAGAGGAGCTTTTTCAGCAGAGGAAGGGCATCGCTATATTTATATATATATATATATACATATAGAAGGACAGAGGGAGAAAGAGAGAGCGAGAGAGAGCGATAGAGATAGAGAGAGAGAGAGAGAGGGAGAGATAGATAATCAAAGGGATACATATATATATATATATGGAGAGAGAGAGAGAGAGAGAGAGAGAGAGAGAGAGAGAGAGAGAGAGAGAAAAAAAAAAAAGAGATAAAGGGAGAGAGAGAGAGAGAGAGAGAGAAAGAGACAGGCATACAGACATAGAGAGATCAACAACACATTTTAATAAAGAAACGCAGGGATATAGAAAAGGAGAGGGAGGGAGAGAGAGAGAGAGAGAGAAAGATAAACATATAACTATAAACAAAAAATGGGAAGGCGAGAGAGAGAGAGAGAGAGAGAGAGAGAGAGAGAGAGAGAGAGAGAAAAAAAAAAGAGAGAGAGAGAAAGAGAGAGAGATAGAGAGAGAAACAAAAACAAGGGAAGAGAGGAGCCCTTCCCGCTCACTTTTCCATGACGGGCCCCTTGTGGTGGCCCCCAAGGGAGCCCCGCTTTTCCGCTTCTAAGGGGGCCTCTATAAGGAACCCAGGAATCCAGACTTTTTGGTTCTCTTAAAGTGAACCTGTGGAGTATTCTTGAGAAGCTCAGGCTCGGGCTTGCCAGGTTTTTCAATCGTGATTCCCGGGCTTTTCCCCCATATGCTTCCCAAGCGGACCCCAAGACGGCCCAAGAGAGGGCCGCAATGGGGCCTTGAAGAGGGCCCGACGAGAGTCCAGACGACAGGCTTCCAAGGACCACTCCCAGATGTCCCAGAGTCTCCAAAGAGACTCCGATACTGGCCAAAGAGCTCCAAGGAGAGTGCCTCTAGCCACGGCACCCTTTCGCCGTTTCTGGACCCCGAGAAGCCCCAGAGACAGCCACGGACCCCAAAGGATGCCCCAGAGCCTTCCAGGAAACTCCGATAGCTCCGACGGAGCTCCCAAGAGAGCCTCCCGTCCCCAGTTTTCGCCATGTGCGGTTCCCGGGTAGCCTTGAACAGAGCCCCCACCTCCCTCTCTCTTACACCCCCCTTTCGATTAGGCGTGACAAGGGGGACCTCCTATCTTGGAATCCACTGCCCCTCTGTTATGAGGCCGTTGTATAGGAGAGGGAACAGAGGACAGAGTGTTTACACAGTTTTGAGGAATTCGTGAATTCAGCATGGGTCCGGCTTGAAGTGCCTCGAAGAAAGCGCGCGCACCCGAATCGCAGACATATGGCTATATGAGGACCTGGGACACTTTGCTTCCCGTCGTCGTCCTCGCCCTTGCTCCGTTCCCCTTCCTGTCTTCCCTCCCCTGGATGGTGTCGAAAGCGTCCGCGGCTCGGGCGGGGGAGCGCCCCTTCCCACCTCCCTTATTATTCCTCGTTCCTCTTTGCCTCCCTGCTCCACCGTCCGTCGTCCTACCTCGCCCACCCTCCTTGTTCGAAAAGTGAAGTCCCCGGTGCCGCGCGCCCGCGTCAGCGGTAAATGCTTCTTCGATACCCGAGCACGGCGGCGCAACCAAACAGAGGGGATTGCCAATGCGAGAGTTCGGGGCGCACCCAAAATGCGGGCGGCACGGCCGCCGAGCACAGTCGCATCGCTAACATGTAAATTATAGGTGCCTGCGGCAAGGTCCGCCCCCCTGCGCCAGCAGTGGTCTCTATGGCGGCGCGTGGAGTTTTGACTTGTAAGAGGTCCATGACATGTAACATCTCTCGTGTTTTCGGACTGCTGCGCGGCATTATTTGGTGTCCTTCGAGGCCTTTTGGGGCGTCTTCGGGCCGTTGGGGGCCGCTTTGGCGCCGCGTTACACCGCGGCCGCCCTGGGCCAGGGAAGCGTGTATTTGCGGTTCTCTCGGGGGCGCCCTGGGCCGGGGAAGTGCGTATTTGCATTCCCCCCCAGCTGGGCATGTCAACTTCGGTTCTGGGCCGGCAAAGTCGGGGCGCCCTCGAGGTGGCGAGCGTTTACCTTTTCGAAATACACAGATCAACGTGTGATCTGTGTACACAGTTTGTGTCTTCAACTGTGTATTTTCGTGTGTGGGCCCGCAGTTTACACAGATCGTGGTGTGATCTGTGTACACAGATCTCGTTCCCATCTGTGTATTTGGAGTGTGTCCCTCGCGGTTGGTGTTGAATGGGCGGAAACTTTCGCGTTTCTCTTCCGGCTGGTCCAGGGGGGCGTCGTGCGCGGTCGAAATACACAGTTCGTGTCTCCAACTGTGAATTTGTTGCGGGCCATTCGCTGGAGTGGTCTCTGGGCGGGAATTTCCGCGGGTCTCCCGGCTGGTCCAGGAGGGGGCCGTGGTCTGGGCATGCAATGGCGCGGGGGGGGTGGGGAGGGTGGGCCGTGGGAAGGAAGGGGTTCGACAGGAGGGGTGGCCGATGGGCCAAGGATGAACGGGACTGGACGAAAGCGGAGGAAATGAGCCCAGGAGGATTTGCATCGTCGGCGTCAGCATCACGAGGGCGAGGGAGGTGGGGTGGGGGGCAGAAGTTGGGGGCATGATGTGCACTAGGGCGTAGACGATGGGAGGAGGGCAGGCATGTGGACGATGGGGGAACGAATCCGGCGCAGGAGGACGACGAGGAACGACGTGAATTGGCACATGGGGGGAGCAGTGTGGATGAAAGGCATGATGAGGACCGGGGCAATCGGAGGGGCATGAGGAGGGTGGAGCCGCAGCGAAGGGATATTTGGAAGAGGCGGGGGGTGGGGCATGAGCTCGAGGCGGGCGCCAGCTAACGATTCGCTGAACAGTGTTTTGCTTGTCCGTGCACCCCCAGAACACAGTGACTGGTTGCAGAACTTCATGATAAGGGTACTCGTGCGATTCGTGCTTCCAGGCCACAGGCTCGAGTCCGCGACGCCCCTTGGCGTCGCGATGATGCCGCCCCGATTTGCCAGACCGCATATGCACAGATACGCAAAATATGTGTTGCAACGTTTGTTTCATGACCCTCTCTATACTAACAGACCCACGTTGGAATCCAACTCCTATCTTCTCTGCCTCGGCTTCCTCCTCTGGGAGCCTGCGCTCCTCCGGTCTTCAGTGCCGCTTCCCTCCTGCTCCTCCGCCTCCTCCTCCTGCAAGAGCCTGCGTCGAGACTGGACCGCGAGAAGCCTTCGATGCCATGAGAACCCTCCAGGGGCCACTCCGAGATAATCGCCCAGACCCTCCTAAAACACTCGAAGACAGCCATCAGCTCCAGAGCCCAGAGCCAGCAGCAAACCACAGAGCAAATCCGCAGGCGTCGGCGACACAGGCGCGTTCGGGACAAACACCTTGACCTGCCAGCCGTGGATTTTCCACGAGTTCACACTGGTCAGCTACAGCGCTGGCATCAGCGCGTGCGCGACGGGCGAGCAGTGGCAGCGGGCTCTGGCGCTGCTGAGCGAGATGTGGGAGACCATGGTGGAGCCCAACGTCATCTATATCCCAATACTAGGCGTTGCGCGTGCCAGAGGGGTAATTGATTGCGCCCGCCGGGCCCGCGGCGGCGGCGCCTCCGCGGTCCCGCTCGTGGAGCGACGCCGTCCTGGCCCAGGAAAGCCCCGCGAGTGCCCCGGAAGGCCCCCGTAGCGCTGCTCTGCAGCGCAAGGGGCTTCCCATGCGGCCTGGGAAGGCCCCCACCAGGCTCCACCAGGCTCCCCGGTGGCCTCCGAGAGGGCCACGAGGACGTACAATTTTCGATATCATTTAGGTTTTTCCATACTTCCTCTCGCGATTCATTCTCCTGCCTCGAGCTGATGGGAAAACCGCGCCCCACAGGATCCCGGAAGGCCTCTAGCAGATCCCATTCAAATTTATCTGATATGAAAAACCATACCCCACACCCCACGTTTCTTGGGACATCTCACTCGTGGGAGGTGTTGCAGGGAGTAGCTGCCCGATTCAGCCGCGGACACCTGGGAACGCTGTTTCTGCGACCCCTCCCGCGCCGAGCCTGTCCCAAGACGTGTCGGGTGTTGTTTTTGTCAGATAGTCTTGCGCCTCCTCCTTCTCCTCCCCGTCGTCGCTCTCCTCCGCCGCAGGAGCTCCTGCTGTTGCTGCTGGAGCTGCTGCCGCTGCTACTGGGGCCGCACTGCTGCTGTTGCTATTCGAGCTGCTGCTGTTGCTACTGCCCAGGCCCCCATGTCCGCTGCCGTTGATACTGTGAGCGCTGCTCTGGACCCCGTCAGAAGCCCCTGGCAAACAGCGCACCCTGAAGCAATGAGCAGCAGCAAGCGCACTCTGACCATTGGCACTCGTGGACGGCAGTCCACGAGCCTGGCCTCTTCTCCTGCCATGCCAGGACCTCTGCGTGCGAGGCCGACAGGCGCCCCGGGGGCAGCTCCGACCGGCCTGCGGGCCTCGGGTCGCGTCCCCTACACGGATCCGTGGGGTTCAAAGACGGCACCCACGACGGCCCTGACGGCCCAGGCGGCCCTCGTAGGTCTCCTGTGGGTTGTTGGCGGATTTTGGCGTTCTCGCCTCTTCGGGCTCCCGAAACGCCCTGCTGACTGAGGGCTCCAGGAGGGGGAGCTGGAACTTGCATTTCGCACCCTTCGCCCCGAGATGGCCCCCGAAACCGCCAGCAGACTCCCAAGAAACACTTCAGACGCTTCAGGAGGTCCCCCCGAAACGGCCCAAGAAAGTTTCAAGAGACCCCCCATAATCGCCCAGCGAAGCCAACTTCAGTGATGTCCGATGGGTTTTGAACGGATTTCGACGTTCTCGCCTTACCGGGCTTCCTATGCCAGGTGATGGCCTACGAGGCCGACCATATCGCCCCAAGGCGGCCCAACAGGCCTCCAAGAGAGCCCCCCAGGCAGCCCAGGAGGGCCTGAAGGCGGCCCGCGAGGCACCCAAGCTGGTCCATGACGGTCCCAAGAGGGACCCTGTCAGTTTTCTGGTTTTGAAAGAGGACAGGTCTGCCTTCAACAAAAAGGCGGGTCTACTCTGTAAGGGCGTTTTTTTTGAAGGTAGATTTGCCTTCGAAAAAACCGTTCTTACAGTGAAGGCAGATTTGCCTTCAAAAAAACTGTTCTTACAGAGTAGACCAGCCTTTTTTTGAAGGCAGACATGCCTTCAAAAACACTCTCACAGAGAGCCCCAAAAGGCCTTGGGCCACGCTCCCTACACGGCACAAGCGGGACCCACAGACGGCCGATGAGGTGCCCTAAGACGACCCCGACGGCCCAGGAGGCCTCCGAAGACGGCCCACGACGGTCCCAAGAGGCCTCCCACGACGGTCCCACGACGGTCAGAGGTTTCCTTGGTCTTTGGGAAGGATTTCGACGTTCTCGCCTGTCTGGGCTTCCGATGCTACATGATGGCCCACGAGGCCCCAATATCGCTTCAAGGCGGTCCACAAGGCTCCCAAGAGACACCCCCTCGGCAACCCAAGATGGTTTTAATGCTGCCAAGCCGGGGCCCAAGACGGCCCAGGAGGGCCCCCGAGGGCCCCGACAGGGCCGCAAGAGGGGGAACTGGAGCTTGCGTTTCGCACCGTCCGCCCCGTGATGGACCCCGACACTGCCAGCAGACCCCCAAGAAGCCCCCTAGCTGCCCCAGGAGGCCCGCACGAGGCCCGAATCAGGGCGACGAGGCCACCGAGAGGCCCAAAGCCGCCTCACAGAGGCTTCCCAGGGAAGACCCCTTGGAGAGCTCCCGCGCCGGCCACACAGGATAGCCCCATCGACGACGCAACAGGAGATCACACGTTCGACCGTTGCTCCTCCCTTCTCGCTCCTTGCTCCTCGCTGATCCCTCCTCGCTTCCTCTGCGTCCTCGACCCTGACTCCTCGATCCTCGATCCTCGGTCCACTCACGAGCTGCAGCTTGCGCCAGCTGGCAAGGGAACCAAGAAGCAGCACTCTTCAGCCTCAAGCAACAACGTCGAACAGCAGCAGCAGTCCACAGCAAGCACCGGCAGCACACAGTAACGGTAAGCAGCAGCAGCAGCAGCAACATGCCGCAGGCAGCAGCAACTTGCAGCTTCAGGCAGCAACGCGTGTACCACCTCGGTCAGATTTCGTGGCTGGTAGGCCAGCGGTCAGCCCTAGTCATCATCTTTACACCACTGGGACGAGCACGTGCGAGAAGGGTCTGTGCACCGAGTGACTCACGGCGGCTCCGAGCCGCTCACGCTCCGAAGGCGCCAGTACGGCCCGAGACGCTCAAGAGGGCGCTCCGACGGCCCAAGACGTCTCGGAGACGCTCCAGAGCCGCCCCGACGGCCCCAGTGGACCCCCAGCGAGCCCCAGGGCGGCCCGAGAGGGCCCGAAAACGGGCCCAGTGGCCTCCCAAACGGCCCAGGAGAACCTCGCGGACGGCCCCAGACAGCACAAATCATAGATTTCCTATGGTTTTTGAAGAATTTTCGCGCTCTCGCCATGTTGGGCCAAGAACGGCCCCAGACGGCTCCAGGACCAAGTCAGACCGATCTACGACGGCCCAACAGGCCCCCAGGAGGACCCCGAGCCGGCGCAAGACGGTTCCTCAACGGCCTAAAAGGCGCCCAAGACGGCCCAAGATGAACCCAAGACAGCCCCAAGAGCGACCCCAGACGGCCCAGGACCGTCCCAAGACGGCCCCAGATCGACCCAAGACGGCCCAAAATGGCCCCAAGATGGCCCAAGAGGCCGCCAAGTCGGCCCCAAGACAGGCTCAGAGGCACCCAAGACGGCCCAAATGGGCTCCGAGAGGCCCCCAGGAAGCCGAAAAGAAGACCCAAGAGGCCCCCAAACAGCCTCCAGACGGCCCTCAGTGGCTTCAGAATTGTTTTGAACAGAGGGGAGCGGACGAGAGGCGAGAAGCAGAACGCAGGCCCGACATAAGCGTTCTGGACAGTCCGATCGAGAGGAAGATGAGGAGGAGGAAGAGGAGGAGGAGGAGGAGAAGGAGGAGGAGGATCCAGCAGCATTAAGCAGCAGCAGCAGCAGCAGCAGCAGAAGCAGAAAGCAGCAGCAGCAGCAGCAGCAGCAGTAGCAGCAGAAGCAGAAAGCAGAAAGCAGCAGCAGCAGCAGCAGCAGCAGCAGCAGCAGCAGCAGCAGCAGCAGCAGCAGCAGCAGCAGCAGCAGCTGCGAGCATCAGCAGCATTCAAGCAGTATCAGCAACATATTTCGCACACTTGATCTCGCTACGCTTCACTCTCCGCCCCGACCCCGCAAGCAATTTCTTACTTAGAACGTGTCGTGGCCGTAGGCCGCGGTTCAGCCCTAGTCAGCTACAATGCTGGGATCAGCGCGTGCGAAAAGGGACATCAGTGGCAGCGAGCTCTGAAGCTGCTGAGCGAGATGTGGGAGGCGAAGGTGGATCCCGACGTCAGCTGTGCTACAATTCTGGCCGCGGCGCGTGCGAAAGTAGCGATCCGCTCGAACCGCGCAGGAGCGCCTTGGAGCGCCTTGGAGCGCCCAGAGCGCCCTCAGGGCCCCTGGGCCGCTCCACTGGGGCGCTCCAGAGGGTCCCCAGATGGCCCCAAGACGGCCTCAGACAGCTCCACGACAGTTCTGAGGCGCTCGGGAGGGCGCCAGGACGGCCCAAGAGAACCCCAACGGAGCCCCATGACGGCCTAAGAGGGCCCGCTGACAGGCCAGGAGCCTGCACAGACGGCCCAAGAGAACCCAGCTGGCAGTCCCACCGAGGCCAAAATCTTAATTTTCTATAGGTTTTTGAAGAGTTCTCGCATTCTCGATATTTCAGCCCAACAGCGGCCCCAGACTGCTCCAGGGGCGTCCCAGGTCGCCCCAAGACGGTCCAGGAGGCCCCGCCGACAAGTGCCCCCAAACGGCCCAAGAGGGCCACAAGACTGCCCAAGAGAGCCCCAAGTCGAATAGAGCCCCCGTGGACCCTGAGACAGCCCCAAGAGGGCCCCAGGAGCTGCCCAACAGGTCCCAAAGTGGGCTCCAAGACGGCCCGAGACTGCCAACAACCCCTAGCATGGCCCAAGGACGGCCGGAGAGGCCTCCAAGACGATCCAAAAGGGCCGCAAAAAGGCCGAAGAGGACCCCCAGAGGCTCCAGAGAGAACCCCAGGAGGCCTCGAAGGGAGTCCCTCCTCGACGTTCCGGCCGCTCTGGGGACCCTTTGCTGCTTCCAGGGCCTCCCCGCTCCTCTTTCCTTTCTCCCTACTCCTCCCCTGACCGCCTTCCTTCCGAGCTCCAGCCGCTCAGGGACCACCACAGCCAGGTCGGAGAGCTGCATCTTTTTTTGTTTCTGGGGCCTGACCGCTCCTCTCTCGGTTCTGCTCGCTTCGACCTCCCAGCCGTGGATGCTCCTGCCGGAGGGCCCAGCGTCGGCGACATGTGCGCGTTCGGGACCGACATCTTGACCTGCCAGCCGTGGAGTTTTCATAGGTTGGCACTCGTCTCTGCTGCAATGGCTGGCCCAGCGCTCGCGGAGGAGCCCATCGGTGGCAGCGGACCGGCCCCC